GAATATTGTGTTTCTACCCAGGCAGTGGGGACCACGGCTAGGGCCCTCACACCCCCAGAACCCCCGTCCTCCCCGCGCTGCGCAGGGTCCCTAGGGAGCTCTGTCTAGCAGCCAGGGACCCCTACAGGACTCCGGAAAACCCCTCCCTAGCTCTCGGCACTCCAGAGGGGATGGGGGGGTGACAAGGGACATCCAGATGTGACCCCCTTTCTGCCTCTCCCCGGGCAGAGACCATCCCACTGCAGACCCTACAGTGTTATAATGACTACCACAGCCACATCACCTGCAGGTGGGCAGACACTCAGGATGCCCAGAAGTTCATCAACCTGACTCTCTTCCGGAGGCTGAATGAGTAAGTGCCACCAGGGCTCAGGGGTCAGAGGGGCCACAGGGAGGCTGCTGAGTGGGGCTGTGCCCCGGGGGGGGCTGGCCGGAGGGCAGGGACAGGGAAGCCCCTGCCCAGGAGCTCCTGCCCCATTAGGCGGCCAGCCAGGTCCGGGTGCTGATGGCCGGCGTCGGGGTTTGGAGGGGGGGAAGAGGCTCCTACGTGAACATCGCCCTCCGTCACGGTTTAACAGAGTCGCCCTGCAAAGGTCAGCTTTAGATTGTCTTCGCTGCGAGGTGAGCAGGGCAGGCGTGTGATGCCCAGTTCACAGGTGAGCCGACCCGAGGCCGCGGTGGCACGGTCCACGGGGCAGCTGTGGGGCCGAACAGGAGCCAGGGCCCTGCGGCCTCCGGAGTGTGGATTTTCTCTGTTGCCCTCGCATGGTCTCTGGGGGGACGTGCCGTTTGGGAAGATTCCGCACAGCGTTCTGGGGTCTGGTGATGGTCTGACCCACCATTCTGGGGATAAATGGCCGGCATCACAGGTGCAGAGGGACCCCCCCCCCCCCGCCCCGGAGGCCGGACCCTCACACCCCCAGTGCCGGCCTCCAGCGCTCTGTCTCGCTCTCCTGGGAGCCCCCTTCTTCCCGTCTCCTCCGCCCTCCTCGCCCGCCTTCACCTCCCGCCCTCAACTGTGGCCCGATTCCTCCTGTGCTGAGACACAGCGCGGCCACCACCAGACGCCAGCAAGGCCTGAGGCCCTGGGGTGCCTCCTGACCGCCACCTCCTCCGGTGGAGCCCGCCCTCTGCTTCCCCTTGGAGGCCACCCTCCCCCAAAGAGTTGGCTAGACCCGCAGCGTCCAAGGTCTTTCCGGTTATTCTGAACCTGGAATGACTGGCCCCACCGGGCCACCCAGACCGCTCGGGCCCGAGGCTACCAAGCCCTCCCTGCGCCCCCTCCCTCTTTGACCGTGGGCGGCACCTGACACACACCGGCCCCACGGACCGTGGTGAAAGCAGCTGCCTCTCCTGGCCGCCACAACCCCCCCTCCTGTGTCTCCCCAGCTCGCCTTCTCTGTCTCCCTGTTCGCTCCCTTCTTTCGTCTCTAACTTGAAGGGTGAGATGCCCTGGGGTTCCTCCTTGGATCTATGCACTGGAACATACCTGACCCAGTGGCAGAGACCCAGCCCCAGGCTGCGCGCTGGTGACTCTCACGTCCTCTCCAGCCCCGCGCCTCCCCCCACCCGCTCCCCCCACCCCCCACCTCCCGCTTCACTGAATGGGAGCTCCCAGAGGCTCCTGCTGACCAGGAGTTGTCTACCCTCCTTTAGCACCTTCCCTTCCCCATCGCCGCCTCTAATCCGTCAGCAAATGCTGCAGACTCCATCTTCGAACAGGACGCGAATCTGGCCGAGGCTAACACCACCACCCTGGTGCGAACTACTTGGCCCGTCACTTGGCTATTTCAGGAGCCTCCTATCTGGTCTCTCAGCTTCCGAGACTACCGCCCCCATCCACCCCTATGTATCCACGGCCCAGCGGCCAGAGGAAGCCTTTGGGTCACGACATGTCACCCCTCTGCTCATAACTCAATTATCTCCATGCTCAGTGACATCCAGATTCCTCGGTTTCCTTTTAAGCGCTGTGTCACCTTGCTGTACTGGTCTCCCTCACCTCCCACCCTCACAGATGCCACTCCATGCATTCTGGGTGACCGCCTAATCCTACAACACTCCAGGGGCGCCTAGGTGGCTCAGTCGGTTAAGCGTGCGACTTCGGCTCAGGTCACGATCTCACGGTTTGTGGGTTCGAGCCCCGCATGGGGCTCTGTGCTGACAGCTCAGAGCCTGGAGCCTGCTTCCGATTCTGTGTCTCCTCTTCTCTCTGCCCCTCCCCCACTTGTGCTGTCTCCGTCTCTCAAAAATAAATAAAAATGTAAAAAAAAATTTTTTTTTAATCATACAACACTCTAAGACTGTGCCTGCCCCAGGGCCTTTGCACCAGCTGTTCCCTTTACCTGAACTCCTCTTTCAGGTAAAGCCCATTTGCATGGCTCCCTCCCTGACTTCCTTCAAGGCTCTGCCCAAAAGCCGCCTTTGCCACGAGGCCTTCCCTGTCTCCCCTGTTTCAGATTGCACCCCCCCCCACCCCACCCCTTCTGGCTTCCGTATCTTCCTGCTGTATCTGTCCGTGTAAAGTTTGCTCCATCTGACACGTGATGTATTTTATCCAGTTCTTCCGTGCGTGTCCCCCTCCACCAGGATGGCAGCACCCTGGCCCCGGACAGAGCCTCGCACATGGTGACCGCTCAGGACCTTTGTTGAACGCGTGATGCTTCTTCACTCTGGGCTCACCATGTTCTCTGCTGGCAGGAACCCTCCAGTGCCAGTGTCCTGTGATCTCAGTAATGACACGGGCTTGTCGTCGGACCACCCCTGTGCCGGCTGCGTGCCCAGAAGATGTGTCATTCCCTACAAGATTTTTGTCCTCGCCGACAAAGACTACTTCTCATTCCGACCAGACAGGCCTCTGGGCGCCCAGCTCACCGTGACTCTGGACCAGAATGGTAAGTTCTGGGGTTCCCGGATGGCGGTGGTCCCGGGAGGACAGTGGACCCCGGGGGTGGCGAGACGGCAGAAGGGCCAGGAAGCCAGAGTCTTCAAGGGGGGGAGGGGGTGGCTCTGGTCTCTTGAGAGAGGAGGGTGCGGCCTCCCGACAACCGAGGCATTGGAGCAGGTCCAAGGGGCGGAGCCCCCGGCCGGTGGCACCTCCCTGGGCCCTGACTGCTGCAGCACCCGCCAAGATACTGCCTTCCAGCAGTGAAGGCTGCCCTTCTAGGAGAACCAGCCTCCCTATTCGGGTAGAAACTTCCTAGCTTGAGAACACCCATCACCGATATAGCCTCATCCAACGTCTGCAACAACCCATTTTATAGATGAGGCAGTTAAAGCCCAGAGAGGCCACATGACTTTTCCAAAGCGCCAGCCCTGAGCAGTCAAGCCAGTGATGGATCAGCTCTGCCCAGGGTTTCCTGCCCTGGAGATGGAGGTCATCACCTCCCTGCCCTCCCTGAGTGGCTTCCAGCGAGTGCGGCCCGCGTGTCCACAGCGGCCCCAAAAAGCCAATGGTCCTGGGTGGGTGTCGATGACCTAGCTAGGCTTCGTTCGACTGTGTGTTACCCAGAAGTATAACCAACACTTCAGCCTCATTAATTCAATTTTTATCTGTGCTCACAATGAACCTACACGAGAGATGTTCGAGGGGATCACCTTTTAAAGTTGAAATTGATGCGGTAAGAACCCTACGGATGGCTGGCTTTTAGGAAACACTGCCCAATATTACGTAACCATTACGACGACGGGTGGTGTCGCGCACCCCTGTTTTCTTTTTCACCCCATGTCACTGATGTTGAAACCGAGGCTCGGAGAACAGGAACTTGCCCAAGGCCTCTCAGATACACGTGTGTGACTTTAGCATCCGGGGTCCCGAACGCTGGGCAGGCCCCACTGTAGGTGCAAGCGTCACACGGAGAGGGGACTCCCGCCTTCGCTTCCTGCCTGTTCTCATGACGGCAGCACAAAGCCGTTGCCCGGAGGAGGGGATTGGTTAGGCCATGGCTGATTCATTTGCAACAGTGTCTCTAAACGCGTTTGATGGATGAGAAAGGGCCCCATCCCCGTGGGGCTCAGAGCATGCAGGTTGAGGGGCCAGGAAACACTGGAGGTTGAACCAGAAGTGGGTGCCGTGTGCCACATGCTGAGGGGCAGTGGGCAAGGAGCCTGGGGGCCGGGGGGTCAGGACAGGCTTCCCCGGGGCGGGGGGGAAAGAGCTTGGCAGGGAGAGCTGAAGGGTGGGTAAGAGGACAGAGCAGGAAGAACATTCCTAGAGGAAACAGCGTGTGCCAAGGCTGGGAGACCGGGGAGGGCAAGGCGGGTTGGGGCAACCGCGAGAAACTGTAGCCCAGAAGCATCACCATCAAAAGGGCCAGACAGCGTGAGGAAGACGGAGAGGGGCAGGTGCAGGCAGGGGCCTGACCTGAGGACGCTGCTGGGCCCTGCAAAGGGGCTTAGGGGCCAACGTCTAGGTGATGGAGAGCCATCGAAGGCGCATGACTTGATCAGATGTGAGGATGCCCGAGGTGGGTGACGCACAGGGTAGACGGCAGGGGGCAGGAGGGGGCAGGAGGCTGGGGCCCGGAATGCAACCGGAGGCGCTCGTCCCACGGAGAAATGACGAGCGTGCTACTGGAACGCGGCCAGGGCATGGGAGCGGGGGGCAGGGGGGGCATACAAATCATACTTAGGACACACGTGCCCTTCACTCGTTCATCTGCTCCCTCACTGAGCACCCACATCCACCAGCACAGCAGTGAACAAGCCGGTCAGTGTCCCTGCCCCTGTGAAGCGTATGGCCTGGTCACAGGGAAGGTGATATGCTGGACATGGGGACAACTTAGAAACGGGGAGGGGAGTGTGACGTTTGTCTCCTAGAGCCTGTGTTCAGCAGGGAGCTCAGCTCCAGCCCCAAGCCATTTTGGCAATGGATCAGGGAAGCTTCTGGTGCTGAGGAGGGACAGGCGTGTGCGTTGGAGCTGCTCTGAGGCTCCCACGAGTGGAGATCTGGGGTATTTTCCTTCCTCTGTCCGTTTCTCCATCTGCGAAATGAGCTAGTGGACTACGATCTCTCAGGTTGGAGGAACAGGTTTGCGCTCAGGCTCCCAGTTGTTTCAGTTGGGAGCAGCTTCTAGAGCTCTGTGCTGAAAGGGATTCCCACTCCCCGGAGGGCTCAGGGGCTAGGAGTGCAGTGATTGATTAGTGATGTCTGCTGTGGCTGCGGAGAGATCTGCCACTCGGGGCTTAAGATTTTCTAGAGGCTCCAGCTCGGACATGCTCTCACATGCCACGTCCCGGTCGGACTCATTGGACTGTGTTTCAAGGTCATCCCTCAGCATTCAGACACAGAAGCTTCGGGAAGGCGGGAGCCGTGCCATTCGTTAACGACTATGCTCGCCCAACAGACACACGTTTGCTGTTGGTTGACGGAATGCCTTCTTGAAAAGTCTGTGAAGGTTGCCTACATGTATTTATTCGTGGATTCATTCATCCTTCATTCACTTTGTCCCCCAAATTCACTGAACCACTAATCGCAGGCCATGGGGGTAGGGAAGGGTGTGGAGGGCCGAACCCGGCCACCCATAAGCTCCTGACTACTTGGGAAGGCAGAAAAGGAGACACATAAATGCCCCAGGGCTCTAAGGCCCATACAACGGGCTGTGGTGAGACAGGAAGAGGGGCAAGGGATTCTGCCCAAGGGGATGGGGGCATCCAAGAAAGTTCTAGAAAAGGAGACATTTATGCTGGGCTCTGAGAGGAGCAGGATCCTGGGCAGGTGGAAAGAGGAAGAGGATGGACAGCATCGCGGGGAGTAACGTGAGCCACAGCGCCCTCTGCTGGGAAGGGGCCGAACAGGCCGCGAGGTGGGCAGAAGGGACCGGAGGCTCCATTCGGAGGAACTTCACTGGCAGCACCTTTCACGGAGCTTGTGTGATATACGCCCAGAAATCTGCGCGGCTTTCATTCATGTTCACAGTGAACCCCCACAGTTTGGCAGGTGAAGGGCCTGAGGCCCACAGAGGAAAGGGGTCTTGTCCAAGGCTGCTCAGCGGGTAGGACGGCACTCAGCCTGGGGCCCCAGTCCGCCCACACAAAACGTGCCGCCCTATAGTTATCCAGCCCCTTCTGAGCCCTTGACCGCCCCTTCCTCCAGTGCAGGCCCCTGCACCCAAGGACCTCCAGATCACCGCTGTCGGGGACCGTTTCCTGCTGACCTGGAGGGTGGCCCCTCCGGGTTCCCAGAGCCACTGGCTGTCAAACCTGGAGTACGAGGTGGTCTACAAGCGGCTTCAGGACTCCTGGGAGGTAGGGACCACGGCCGGCTCTGCCCCAGCCGAGGGACCTGGCCCAGCTGGCACCTGTTCCATTAACCCCTCCCTCCCCGCAGGATGCCCCTACCCTCTACTGCAACTCCTCCCAGGCTGTCCTGGGTCCAGAGCACCTCCTTCCCAGCAGCACCTATGTGGCCCGAGTGCGCGCCCGCCTGGCCCCCAGCTCAGGGCTCTCGGGGCGGCCCAGTCAGTGGAGCCTGGAGGTTCTCTGGCACTCCCAGACAGGTAACAAAGCCAAAATTGGGGCAATGCCCTCCTGAGGGGAGGGCGGCTCATTCAGCTTCCGGACAGAAAGAGTCCAGGGGTCCGTTTTGCGGGATTCCACAGATCTTCTGTAGCCTGTGTTCAGGATCGATACCCAGGGCAGACCCCATCCCTACTGTGGCTCTCCAGACACAGTGGCTGCGTCCCACCCACGGCTGGGCCCCAGCCTCTTCTGCGTGCTTCCTGTGCCCACGTTACAGGGATAAGCATCACGGGCGGTGGCCATGGCATTCTGAGCAGCTGTGTTTCCGTGAGCGCTATGCTGGGTGTGGACAAGTCAACATCATCGTGTTGCGTCTCCCGCCCCCCCCCCCCCCACCACCACCACCAACACTGAAACCAGACGCTCTCCCCAGGGTGCACAAGGGGGTAAGAGGGTTCGCAGAATTCACTCTCTGACCTGCGGACACACCTCGGGCAGGTTCAGGCTAATGCTAAGCCCTAGTTTTTCTGGTCCCAAAGCCCCACGATCTCTCTGAGATGAGGCTCACGGTAGGTCCCACTGAGAGCGAAGGAAGGAATGGAGGAGGGGAGGATAAAAGGAAGTGTCTCCCTTCCCAGGGGACAAGGCCCAGCCCCAGAACCTCCAGTGCTTGTTCGATGGGGCCGCCGTGCTCAGCTGCTCCTGGGAAGTGTGGTCCGAGGTGGCCAGCTCCGTCTCCTTCACCCTCTTCTACAAGCCCAGCACCAGTGCAAGGTGAGCGTCCTCTCCTCCCCACCCCCACCCACCCTTCCCTCCCCTCGTCACCACCTGTGTCCTTCAGACCTCCCCCTGACCCTGAGATTTCCCAGTGGAAGCCATGGCCCATCCCGAGGTTGCCTCCCTCCCGTGGCCTCTGCCTCCCTCGCCCTCACCTGCACCGTGATCCTCAGGGAGGAGGAGTGCTCCCCGGTGCTGAAGGAACAGCTCCCCGGCCTCTTGGTCCAGCACCGATGCCGGATTCCCGTGCCTGACCCCAGGAACCACAGCCAGTACGCCATCTCTGTTCGGGTGAAGGAGGAGGAGAGGTTCATAAAGAGCTCAGACCACAGTGAGTTCGCCCCCAGCCTTGCGCACAGTCCCCCTTGCCACAGTCCTGTCTCGTCGCGGAACCCACACAAACTCAGGACTCCCTGTGGCCCAGTCTTCACGTTGGTCACTGTCCTCCAAACGCGGCCCGGCGAGCCAAGTGAACAAAAGTCATTCTAACCTTGACGTTCTCAAGAAGCAAGGACACCACGATGACAAGGGCCAATAACACGAAGGAAGGTTCCACTGATACTTCCCAGGAGCACATCTCTAAAGCCTGTTTTCTCCGATTTCTTGAGGTCTGCGTTCCTGTCCAACCCCGCAGCTCCTCTGAAGCCCCTTCTGCCAACCGTACTCCCCTAGGCCTCCCCCCCCACCCCAGACTCTCCTTTTCGTCCCCTGATTGGGTTTTTCGCTCTCTGATTTCCAAAGTCCTCCGCGCACTTGTATTTTCAGGCTTCGAAATAGTAGAGCTGTGAGTTACTTCTTCAATCGGGGGCTAGAACATGCGCAAATAAATGGTAGCTCCTTGCGGGTCAATATCCACGACTCCTCTTATGCAGTAAGAATCCCATGCAAAGGAGCCTCCTGCATTGCTTCCTGAGGACCCAGGCTCTTCCATCCAGATGTCAGTGTGGGGGGGAGGCCACAGCCAATCTTGCTCACCCGGGTTGGAACCCACCACTCACTCCGGGGACGCCGAGTTTCACCTTTTCCTCCACCACTCGTTAGCTGCCTGGCCTTGGCAAGTTACCTAATCGTTCTGGGGCTCAGTTTCCCCGTCTGTGAAGTGTGACGAGTTAATAGTACCTACCACGTTGGGTTGCTGTTAGAATCGAGTGAGAGATTCGCGCAGACTGAGCATGTGTGACGATACCTGCGACATAGTTAATTCTCTAGACTAGGACAAATAAATAGTGTTTCTATGTTTACGTAAATGCTGGGCGTAGCCCGTGCTTTGGCCCACCTCCCTACAAAACGAGCCTATCTCAGCATCTCCCAAGAGGAGGGCCACTCGGATCAAAGTGGATAGTGTGGCAAAGTGAGGTGCAAGGACCCCAAGAAGGGGTGGACCGGGAGACAGAGCGCCTGTGACGAGCATGGGATGAAAAGAACGTTCCATCGGAGGAATGCTAGGAACAGCATTCCCTAAAGGTTTCCCTCCCTCCAGTCCAGATGGCTCCCCCGACCCTCAATGTGACCAAGAGCAGAGATGGCTACGCCCTGTCCTGGACAACAGAGGAGATGCTTTACAAACACATAGGTCACACCTTCCAGATCCAGTACAAGAAAGACGCAGACTCATGGAAGGTGAGGGCCTATGCCTGGGAAGGGGCTTGGATTGGGGTAGGGGGGATGGGAGAAAACACGCAGGGGGGCGCCGACCTGCCAGGGGCCTGGCTCCCAGCAGGTGACCGGTCAGAGGAAGCCGCTGAGACTTCGCGGTCGCGGCCCTGTGTGGTCAGTTGGTCCTTGTCCTATACCTTGGCGGAGGTGCTAAAGTTCACAGGGGCGATGTGACATGGCCCAGATTGACGATGGGACCCTGACTTGCCAAGGGGATGTAGGCGTCGGGACTCAGAGGGCTGAGAGGCAGCTGGGTGAAGGGTTTTCAAAAGTCAGGAGGGGATTCTTCTTCAGAGAAATCTCTGGAATGCAGATGTGCAGCTGCTGAGAGCGGAGCTGCTCTGATAAAGCAGGCAGGGCCCCGGCCCAGGGTTCGGTCTCTGGCCCCCACCCCCAGACAGCCCCCGGGCTGTGTGTGCAGCACCCAGGCTCCCCGCAGCCCCAGTCGGCAACCTCAGAGCCCGCCCCAGACCTTCAGGTCCAGAAGCGGGGAAATGGAAGCCAGGAAGGGCACGGTCAGCGGTGGAGCTGGGAGTGGGGCCCTGACTCGCAAACCCCGTCTCGGGGTCCAGCGATGCTGCCCTGCATTCCTGGGCAGGCCATAACCGGGGTCCAGGCCGTCCCCGAGGAGCTCGGGGGTGGGCGGGGCGGTTTAGAGTGAGGGTGGCACACGCTGTGTCCTCAGGATTTCTGGACCTCGGTGTTGTCCTATGTCGCAGGGGTGCGGCCCCCCGTCCCGTCCAGAGTGCTCTGCCTCTGTGCGCCCTGGGGCAGGGCCCTCCATGGGGGGCAGGGAGGACTCAGATCTGGGGATGCAGCTGCGGCCGGGGCCTGACGGGACAGAAAAGCTGGGGCGCTGAGGTGGGAGGGGCTTGCGGCTGTGCCTCCCCCCACCCCGCACCAGGCAAGTAGCCTCAGCCTCAGCAGACCTGCTCACTCGCCTGTGCCCACAGGAGAGCAAGACGGAGACCCTCCAGAACTCCCACGTCATGTCACTGCCACCGCTGGAGCCCTTCACCAGGTACCAGGCGAGAGTGAGGGTCAGGCCCACCCCCAGCGGCTACAACGGGGTCTGGAGCCAGTGGAGTGAGAAGACCTTCTGGGACACAGAGTGGGGTAGGTGTCCCAGCCCCCCCCCCTTCCGGGTACAGCCCAGCTGGGCAGAGGACAAGCGAGATGTGAACACAGGGGTGTGACCCCACTCCACCTGAGTGTCCTTTCCTCCACGTGTCACTAGTCACTGCAAAGCGACGCCTATGTGGCAGGTGAGGTCCTGAGAGCAGAGAAGAAGGGTCCTCCCTCAGACTGGCGCTTAGCCCTCTATTGATATGGCCCATGGTTTGTTCCATTAGCCTTGGTGACAGCCATCACCTAGTGACCACTCAGCATGCGTCTCCGGTTACCATGGTAGCAAACATCAGGAGCGATGGGCTGGGGCCTGGGATTGGAAGGGTTCGGTCTGATTTCTTAATCTCCCCCATTCTGCTTCCAGTGTCTCTCACCATTGGCCATAGTGGCCACCAGGAGACAAGTACCAGACTAGGTCCAGGAGGTGGTGGCAGAGAGAGGACCGAGGAGGTATTAGCAACAGGGACCCCAGCCCCAGCCAGCCTTGCAGGGGGGGAGTCGCAGGGAGAGGGCCACAATCAAGCGGAAAGGAGGACTGGACACCAGGCCTAAGGGAAGAGACCAAGAAAGTCCTGGAGGGGCCCAGCCTGTGAAGGGCTCAAGGCTGCCAGGCAGGCAGGAAGTTGGGGCTCCTGATGGGCCTTTGTACCTGCTGATTCCTACACTAGCACGGCCTTCCCCATCTCCGCCTCTCCAAGCCTCCCTGTGCCTGGATGCTCAAGCTTATATGCTGCCTCCTACAGGAAGTCCCTTGTGATTGCCATGGGCTGGAGTCACGGCCCAGCCCCCCACCCCCATAACTCCTTCTGCTACTAGAAAGAATCTAACCCTCTGTGTCCTTCCCAGCACTCGAACATGGGGGTGGGGGAGGTCAGACCAATGCCCTCTTCTTCGCCTATGTCTGGCCTCCCCCCGCCACCACCCTGCACGCCAAGGCAGTGAGTTTCTGGAGCGCCGCGCCTGCACAGAGCAGGGTCTGGGGGCACTGACCTGGCCTCCGCTCCTCCCCACCTCCTAAGCCTCCAGCTCTGTCCCTCCCCAGATGCTAATATTCCTTTTTCCTTCCCGGAAGTCCTGCCCACCTGGGTCCTGGCTCTCATCCTGGTGTTCACCACGCTGGCCTTGCTCCCTGTCCTGCGCTTCTGTGGCATCTATGGGTACAGGTAAGGGGACTCTATGATGGGTGGGAGGGGTACTCAGGAGCCCAGGGGGTGCCAGGGACCCCACAACTGGCTCCCTCTAGTCCCCGCTCCGCACCCGCTCCCTGGGAAGCCTTGGCCACCTCCCACCTTCTCCCTGGGCCTCAGTTTCCTCTCTGCACGTGAGCATGGGGCCTCTGGCAGCGGTCACCTCCCTGGTGTCTCTCTAGGCTGAACCGGAAGTGGGAGGAGAAAATCCCAAACCCCAGCAAGAGCCACCTGTTCCAGGTAGGAGCCGACCGCGAAGGCGGCCAGGGTGGTAGGGGCGCCTCACTCCTGCAGCCACGTCCCCGTCCCCATGTCTTCCCCGCCTTCCTGTGGCTTTGAGTGTGATGCCGAGGTGGCCCGGGAAGGTGCCAGGCAGCTCTAAGAGGCAGGCCAGCCCCGGCAGGTTCAGCTCTGCAATCCTCTGGGCACCTGCAGGCTCCCAGGGCTGGCCCAGGGTGCAGGGCTCCCTCGGAGCCGGAGCCGGAGGCGGGAGTCGGGGTGGCCTCGGGGAGGGGCTCAGTTCCGTGGGGGCAGGTGGGCTTCCTTCAGGATGGGACAGCAGAGCTGAGCTTCGAAGGAGCCAGGGTGGGGCCAGGTGGGAAAGGCCACCGCAGACAGAAGGCCTGTGGAGGATGGGCACGGGGCCCCCCTCATAAAAGGAGCCGAGGGGGGCAGGCAGCGAGGCTGGGGGCACATCCCGGATGCTGAGATGGACGCAAGGCAGGCGGTGGCACGAGGGTCACAGGAGCCCTTTGGTCCAGCAGGGCCAGCTTGCCCGGTGGCGGGGGGGTCCTCATGGCTACTGCGGGGGAAAGTAGGGTGTGAGTGTGGAGGCAGTGACACCCCAGATTAGTGAACTCGCAAGAAGAGGGTCCCCATCCTCAGACGCTCGAGGGCCCATGGGAAGTCCCAGCCCCTCTCTGGGCTTCTCCTTCCTGGTGTCAGGGGGCCCGGCTGGTCCTGACCTTGCTGAGACTCCTTCCGTGTCTGGGGGGCTCGCTGTATCCCCTGTCATGCCCTGGCTTCCTCGCCCCACCCCCACCCCCCACCTTCAGCTTCTCAGGCTCCCACACAGCCACGGCACAAGTGTCCTTTCTCTTTCCAGAACGGGAGTGCCGGGCTCGGGCTCCCAGGCAGCATGGCGGTACTCACCATCAGGAGCCCCTTGCACAAGGGGCCGAGAGGCAGCTACTTCCCTGAAATGGAGGGGTGAGTGTCTGGGCACGGGGTCCCTAGGAGGTGGGAGGGTGGCCCCATCGTGCACCCTGGAGGCTCAGAGGAGGTGGCCTCTGGC